ATAGTATCAATAGACGTGTTTTTGTCTTCAAAGATACTCTTATTCCTACACTTCCATAAAGCCCAACAACTAACAGTGAACTTAGCACTCCACTCCGCCCTTTTCCCTCTTGCAAATGTGCCCAGATTCCATTTCAGCCACCAACGATGATCAAGCTCAAAGATTTCTCTATTAGCAGGTCACATAACCTTGCCCTAGTACGCAGTAGCGTGGGAGCAATCTCTAAGGACATGAATTATATCTTTTGGCTTGTCTCTAGACATTTGTGGCACATCCCATCAGAATCTAAACCCCTTTTTTGTCTCTCCATGTTCATTAACAACTTGTTATGATGCACAAGCCACATGAAGGAGTGACATCTTTGTGGAACAGGAACCTTCCATATCTTATCCCATGACCATTACATCCTAGAGTCTTCATGTCGAAAGGAGTTATAAGTAGATTTGATGGAGAGATCCCCAAACTTCTCCCACTTCCATCTCACATTGCTACCATTACTTATAACCTCAATACCCTCCTTGACTCTGTCCCAAGTAGATTTTATCCCTTGCCAGGTATTAGAGCCAGGCTGTTTCTTTTTAATTTTTAGGATTAAATCATCTCCACATATATATTTTTCTCTAACCACTTTAACCCACAGAGCATCTCTCTTCTTCATGAGATTCCAGCCTGGCTTCATGAGATAAGCTTGGTTTTTTTTAATGCAAGGCCACAGATAGACTGTGCAAAGGATGGCTTAGGTTAAATCAAGACCCATGAGCTGACGACACCCTAGAGGTGGAACGTCATAAAATAAAGTGTTTGTATTTTCTCTCGTAGCTTGTTGAGCAAGTCAATCCGTACATTTGTTACATTCTATAAACGCATGATTGAAGGTGACAGCCCAATCCTTTATGATGAGACATCTGATCTTCTTTATGATATCGCCAAGAGGATGATTCAGATTGTGATCCTTTTGAACAAGTGTCAGGGCTTCTAAAGAATCAGTGTATACATTAACTTGCTTGAAGTTATTCTCCCAATAAAGCTTTAATCCCTCAAAAATACCCAAGAGCTCAGCGGCAGTGGTAGGATGATAGCCTAGACTTTTAGTAAAGCCTTTAATCCAGTTCCCTAAATCATCACGAATGAGGCCACCACAAGAAGCGTCTCTATTGGTGAGAACATAACCATCAGTATCCAATCTAATCCAGCTAGGTTTTGGTGGAATCCATCTAGTAAAAGATCTGTCTTGATTCATCTGCATAATTCCAAGTTCAGAATGAAGGTAGAGGTCATTGATCGTGTCCTGTGTGCAAGTAAAAATGATGTCTTTCTCAGGAGTGTGGTCTTCCGAGTAGATAGATTTGCAGCGCTCTTTCTAAATGTTCCAATAAATATGGGCAAAAAGATTCTTCTAAGGGATTCTTCTGGTATTAGCATTACTAACATTGTTTTTCGTATTTCAGAGAATCCAATCCTAAAAGGAAAGAGAAAAGAAAGTATTAAGCTTAGAATGTGTTACAAGTTTCATCCATACTTTCCTTGATTTAGTGCAATCACGTAGAATGTGGATAGAGTTATCAGGAGAATTGCAGCCAAAGGGGCATTTAGAATTGGAAGAATTAGAGTTTATATGCAATCGATTCCAAGTTGCTTTTCATAAAAAGTATTTAATCTTCTCATAGGTGGGCCATTTCCATATAGTATCCTAAATTTTTTTATTGCAATTCCCATCCTGATTCTCAATAGCTTTGTATGCTGACTTGATAGAGAAGTTGCCATCAAAGAAGGTCTCCAAACGAGAATATCATTATCTCCATGAGGGTTAGGTGACTGGACAAGCAAAATGGATTTAATCACATCCGAGGGGAGATAACGCTTTAATTTATTAATGTGCCAACCTCCTGAAGCTGCACGAAAATCAGAGACTTTGGCATGAAGGATGGCTTTAGCTTTAGGATAAGCATATATGACAAGAGGCTCGAGGAAAGGCGACCACCTTTTGCACTAAAAATATATTTGATCTCTTTTGCCTACTCTCCAACCAACATTGGCTTTAAAAGTATCCCAAACTTTACAAACACTAGTCCATGTGTAAGATGATGAATTTGGTTTGTAAACCATAAGGATAAAGGGTTTGTGACATTTTTATTTATCGCGAAGAATTCAAACCTAAAGACAGTTGGTCTTAGTAATAATGTCCCAGCATAGCTTTATGTCTGGTTTTTTATTCTCTTAAACCTAAAGCCGCCATGTTTCTTATATTTAGCGATCTTATCCCAAGAGAGAAGATGTGGTTTTTTTGCTCCATCGATAGAGTCCTAGAGGAAGTTTTGGGAGCTTTTGTCTAATTCAGAAAGAACATTATCAAGAAGGAGCATAGTCTGCATAATATAACTAGGAAGAGAAGAGAGCACAAACTTAATGAGGACAAATTTTCCTGCAATATTGAGATAACGGCTCTTTCAAGAAGACAAGAATTTGTTTTTTTAATAAGAGGAGCAAATGTTAACTTAGAAGCTTTTTTAGGAAGAATAGGAATCCCAAGATATTTGCCAAGATTTCTGATAAGGGAAATTTCCAATTCATTATTGAGTTGTAAGGCTCTATTGATATTGATATTTCTGGAACAAAAGAGTTTAAATTTGTCATAGTTGATTTTTTGTCCAGAAGTAATACAAAAATCATTAAGACATTTACGAATGATCCCAGCTTGAGTGAGAGAAGCATCTGCAAAAAGAAACAGATTGTCAGCAAAGAATAAATGTGAGATAGGAGGTCCATTAGTTGTTAAATTAATGGGCTTCTAATCTCTGTTATCGATACTACTATAAATGCAATGACTTAAGCGTTTAATGCAAAGTACAAAAAGATAAGGAGAAAGAGGATCCCCCCTTCTGATGCCATGTGTAGGTTTGAATTCTTTAGATGGTTCACCATTCTAAAGGACTTTCATGCGAGGAGAAGAGACCGCTGCCATGATGATCTTCTTAAAATGAGAATTTATGCCTATAGCTTGAAGAGTATCTTCAATGAAAGCCCAAGAAAGTCTGTCAAAAGCCTTTTTAAGATCAATTTTGAGAGCCATGAAGCCTCTTTTCCTAACTTTACTTCTCATGAAATGTATCACTTCTTAGGCAATAATAATATTATCACTACTCTGTCTGCCTTAAATGAAGCTACATTAGTTATCCCCGATAAGATGATTTATACAAGCTCTGAGACGGTTGGAGATGATTTTAGTTATGATTTTAAAGCTCACGTTACAAAGAGAGATTGGCCGAAAGTCTTTCATACAAGTAGGATGATCAAGTTTAGGAATAAGGGTAATGAAGGTATCATTAATGTTCGCAATGGTATTAAGATCTCTAAAGGCTGACTTAATTAGTTTGAAGATGTTATCCTTGAGATCCTCCCAATGAGTATGAAAGAAGTTAGCATTAAGGCCATCAAGACCAGGCTCTTTAAAAGCTCCAATGTCAAAAGCAGCAGATTTAATTTCTTCTTCAGTTACTTCCCCATAGAAAGAAAGAGATTGGTCATAGGTTAATGGTAGAAAAGTTCTTTCAATACAAAGCTTGGGGTTTCTCCGACTAGCTTCCTTGAAGAGGTTTTCAAAATAAGAGACGGCCAAGTTCTTAAGAGAGAATTGATTGTGAATCCAATAGCCATCATTATCTTTGAGTGATAGGACTTGATTCTTTTTTCTTCGGATGATAGTAGAGGCATAAAAGAACTTTGTATTCCTATCACCCCATTTTAACCATTTGCATCTACATTTATGAGACCAAATTATTTCTTCTTGAAGAATAACTTTATTATAGTCCTCCTAAAGGGATTTTTCTAGTTTCTTGAGAAAATAGTTGTCCTTAGAGCTTTTATTTTTATCAATTCCTTCAATCTTCTTAAAATTCTTCCTTTTTTTTGCATAGATACTACCAAGACTATTCTTATTCCAATCGGTAGCAAGTTTAGCAAACTTCAAAATTTCATTCGTCCAATCATTATCACACCAAGAATCTTTGACAAGAGTCTTAAAGGAATCTTCTAAAGACCATACGGTATGGTATTTGAAGGGTATTGCATGAAGATTTGAAACATAATTCTTGTTGAGTTGAATGTGAATTGGTCGATGATCCGAACCAAATTTAAGAAGATGATGGCTGTTTGCATTAGTGAAAGAAAGTCTCCATTCTGTATTGCAGAAAGCCCAGTTAAGCCTTTGTTTTATGTTACCTTTTTCCCAAGTAAACCTTTCTCTATTGAAATTGAGCTCAAGAAGGTTGGAAAGGTTGATGCATTGTTTAAAGAGCTTCATAGATTTTCAGTTAAAACCATTGCCATCATGTTTATCCTCACAAGATAGGTAAGCATTATAGTCACCAACAAGAAGCCAAGGTTCATTAATGATTTTGGATAAGTTGATAATTGATTTCCAAAGTTCATCACGATTATAGGGATTAGGATCCCCATAAATACAAGATAAAAGGTAGGAAGTGTTGTCATACGGGATGTTGACTTTACAATGAAGCAATTGGACATTAGAGTATAAGTATTCAATATTAACTACATCATTATTCCAAAGCAACCAAATACCTCCAGCATAACTGGTGGCCCCAACAAGAATCCATTCAGAGAATCCCAATTTTCTAATAATTTTATCAATTCTAACACCACTAGCTCTAGTTTTGAGTAAAATAAAAATTTGAGCTTTGTATCTATTAGAAATTTCTTTAACCCTGGAAGGAAAACTTTTAGCACAAGAACCTCTACAATTCTAACTAATAATATTCATGGAAAAAATAAATAAAAGGGAAGAAAGAACCTGGAATGCTGATTAACCACGGATATCATATTGCATTTCCTCATTCTGATCATCGCTAAAATCATCATCTCCAAGATCCTCATTAATAGGAGTATTCTGGTGACCGAACGTAGTCTTTCTATTTCCACTAATGACTGAGTGTAGTCTTTTTGTGGACTTTCCTGGTGCACTATTGGGCTTGGTTAGTGCGGTTATTGCTTCTTCTTTGTCTTTCATAATTTCAATGTTTATAGAGTTTGGGCCTTCCCAATTGAATTGTGGCCCAACTAGTTTTTTCTTGTTTCCCTTATCTGTGCTGAAAAGCATTTCCATATCTTCAGTTGGTTCTTCTCTATAATCACAAGACCACTCTATTCGACCATCATTCACCTCACTCTGTCTCGCCTTTTTAAACCCAAATAGATCCTTCTTTCTCCATACCTTCCTGACAATGTTGCCAACATGATTCATTGAGGGCTTATTTTATTTGCTCTCAGTGTTGTACCTTTTGTACTCACCATCACTGACCTGCTCAAGATTAAATAATAAATCAAATCGAGATTTAGTGGAGAAATTTTTACCTCGACCTGTGTGAAGACTGCCTTGATGTTGATCGAAGCTTCTGTTCGTTGGATACTCAGAGTTTTTGCCCATTGGAAGCCTCGTGGTTCATGATCGAATTGGTCTTTGAGGTTTGTTCCATTCACCGTAATCTTCTTTCGGTAAGCTTTTTAGTGAGCTATTGAGATTTGGATTCGACTATTTGTTTTGGCTGTTCTGGATTTCTATTGGCTCCTTTTGCGTTTCCATGTCACTCTGTTTTTTCTAGGTATTTTGTGGTTTATGAGGACAATTATTCTTATTATGCCTATAGCAACCACACCTAAAGCAGATGAGACTAAGGCTCTCATATTCCACGTTGTTGATTTCATCTCTTATGAGCAACCTTGGAACAAGTTTCTTTTGTAGATCAAGTTCTACACTAATCCTGATGAATTTTCCCCTCTCAGTTTTGCTGGAAGTGTCCTTAGAATTTGATTCTGAGAAAGTATTAGTGTCAACCTTTAAAGTTTTTTCAATACAGTTTTCCATCCTCCAGAGTATGTCTTTGTCATAGCATTGAATTGGTACATTTGAAAGCCTAACCCATAGGGCAATCTTGCCTAACGAATTGGTGTTGGGGTTGAATTTGGGGTCCATCTCTGTACAAGAATGCAATGATCGAATATGGTCCATGATCCATGGTCCACCGTTTAGAATATGCTCATAGGCATTCAGATTACTAGTTCTCACAATATAATAATTATTAACTAAGTCAATTAATTCAAAATCCTTAAGATTCCATATTTTAGCTAACCTTGGCTTAAGTGATCTCGGATGAAGATGCAGTCCGAGAGTGTTAATCACTAGTGTGTCTATCCAAGGTAAGCAGATGCTTCTCCATTCATCATTTGAGATGGGGACCATTGGGTAGCGTTCCATTAGTTTTCTTGTTGATTCAGATGGATTCCAGTCTTTCTCTAGCTCTTTTGCAAGATCATCATTGATGTATCTGGTATCCTTAGTTTCCTTGATTCCATAGCAGTCATTGTATCCGATCAGAGAGTCTTTGTAGGATATTGGAGCTTTAAAAGCATAAATTCCTTTGATTGTGTTGTCTTTAGTAGCTGGATTTCCTTCTTGGACTTCCAAAGTTGAATACCAGGTGATATCTCTTCATTCCCAGCTTGATGATCATTTGATTCTTTCTGCATATTAATTGAAGGCAAATTGTCTTTGCCGTTATTGATCAGTGCTTCATCTAGCTTCATCACGTTCCGGTTCATCAAATCGATTTCTTCTTTTGAAGCAGGAGGATCCTTAACTTCTTTGATGCTTGGTGATGCAGAGAACTTAAAATTTGGATCAACAACAAACTTTGGATTCATCAGGGAGGGAGTGATGCTATTAGCCCTTCTTTGACAGAGCTAACGAACCTTCAGCTACCCACAAGCTGGTTTTTGTTCCGGATTAAGCTTGGTTTTGATATCGGGGTTGCTTTTGCAAACCTCGCTCCACAAGACTAGATGAACTTTCTTCTTAGCCTCAGTCAAGCCCCAAATTAATTCTCGATTCTTTCTATCAAGCACGTCACAATTACCCATGGGGAGAAGGGCAATTTGCATCGTGTAGCCAGCAATAGCGGACATCACAGACTGCACAAGTGTGGTTCTACCAGCCAAAGATAAAGAGTTAACTTTCCAGCTGATTAACCTCTTTTTAACCTTATCAATTACCCTCGAGAATGTTTCTTTCCCGACTAGTTTCATGTGTAATTGAATCCCAAGGTATTTGCCCAGATTACCAGTTCTGGTAAAACCCAAAAGAGAGCTCAACTCTTCCCGTCTCATGTTATGAACGTTATCAAAGAAATAAATTCTCATTTCAGCTACATTAACTTTCATACTAGAGCTGTCATAAAACTTCTTCAAGCATTTATTAATCACTTCCACCTGGCTTATTGAGGCTTCTACAAATAGAATAATGTCATCTGCAAAAATAGATACGAGATAGGAGGGTCATTCTCATGTTGAATTAGGTGGGTAAGAATGATCCGAGCTATGTCTCTCCAATACAAAACTACACTGCTTAGGACCAATCACCTCTAGCAAGAAACCTTCATTCTATTTGTCACAGCCTTAGTATTTTAAACACCACGTTGCAGAGACCGATCGGGCGGAGATCTCTAAGTTCTTATGGGGGTTTCTTCTGTGGAACTTGAACCCAAAAAGTACCGTGGATCTCTTTAATTCATTCTGGGTTATAAAACAAATCCTTAATACAATCAATGATAGACTTACCCACCACCTGCCACTGGCTTTGGTAGAAAATAGCTCCAAAGCCATCTGGCCCCGGAGACTTTAAAGCACCCATTGAATTAAGAGCTTCTACACTTCCTCCTCTCCAAGGTCACAACCAAAACGTTTCATTACTTCATTTTCCATACGAGGGTACGTAATGTTCGAATATAATTTTGGCCGAGTATAGCTTCCGCCGTGAATAGATTAGAGAAGTAGTTCATCGCCATTTCCTTTAGAATAGCTTCCTCAAAGATCCATTCTCCATCTACGCTCTTGGGAGCCCATTTGCCACCATATGGAAATTATGGTTGTTTTTGTCTCCAAGGAGAGCCCAATATACCCAATAATATTTTGTGTATTGTGGCTTTAACCTTCAACCTTCCTCTAATTAGTTGATCAAACCCTCACCCTCCTTGACTTAAAATACAGGGATGCAAGCATGTGCCATTCATCCAAAGAAAGGAAACGTATCTACTTTTTTTCAAAAACAAAAAAAAAAAAATCATTTATGAAAAATGGCAATTATTAAGAGTATATAGCAGGTATTGGACTCCTAAAGCACACATAAATACAAGCTTTGAATCTTTAAAGTAGATGCAGTAGTAGCAAAAAAGTAGAACAAAAGAACAATCAAGAGATTGTTTATACATAATAGTATAATACAAAGCTAGAAGGTTCTGTAGTGATCTTCAAGCAACCAAGAGTCGGAGAGTAAGAGAACTTCTTCCGTGGATGCCTTGCAAGCATGAATTACAGTGCATATATCTTTAGTCTCCAGAAACTTCTCAGCATTGATTAGGATCACTGGTCCATACTCAAATACCAGCTTCTTGCACTGAAAACATAATTAGATATTAAGGAAAGTGAAAAGTCTATTTATCAACAGGTAGAACTTGACTGCAAAAATCATTACATATATTTTGCTTCCATTGTTTTAATTGATTCATTCTAACATTAAGAAATATGCAATCAATCAAGCCAATTTCTCTACTTCTCTCAAATTTCTCTACTTCTCTACTCTACTTTTCAGTCATTAGGTAATCCAAATATACTTTGAGATAACATCATCATCATTAGCAACAAGCCTAATCCTACTAGATAGCGTCAACCCTATAGATTGCATAACACCATTATAGTCTATCAATAACCAAGCTTTTGAATATATTGTTAACCAAAAAGTCTCATTTAACAACTTATTTTAATGTTCTCTCTGGTCTTCTTTTAATTCCCTTCACAGGGCTTAAAACCATCTATTTCACTCGTTGAGTGATCTCTTTGAGATGTCATCACTTGAAAAAATAAATTTAGACCATGTAAATTTGCAAAAATGATAAACCTAATGAAAACTTTTACGGTAACAGATGGAGGAAAAAAATTTGTTTAGGAAATTATGTACTTACATTGAATGAATCATCTTATGGTTTCATATTTGAAGAGCAAAATGGAATTTTGGATCAAGGGAATCAAAGAATTAAAATTCATGCCACAAGCTATTTTGATAATGCAAGATCAACACCTTGAACATAAGGAGTGGAAAAAGAAAGATTTTACTTACCTTCTTTGAATACTTCTCCACGGAATTGCAAACCTTTAGAAGTGTCTCAATTATCTCTAGCTGTCAAATAACATAAATTATTAGTTCTTGTACTTTGTCCAACAAAAGGTAACTATTATCCAAGCAAGCTGTCAACCACACACCCCTATAAAATCAAGCTTTACTTTTTGGGAATATTTTGCAGAATATTTCAGTACAGCAGACATTAAACATGGGTTTCAAGTGATTTAAGAAAATATCGTTACCAGAAAGACAGTGCAAATCAGCATGATAAACATTTCTTTATTTCACTCAAAATATGCTTCCATTTGTTATGCCCAAACCATAGGCAGTAAACACGATTAAAATTTCATTCTCTCTTTTTTATCCCATCTGATATTAAAATTCTGAGCAGAATCATCTCAAATCAGCAAAGCCTAATTTCAAATAAATACTTGATGTAATGAATTTAAGCCTAACATGTAATTGAATCGAGCTGACAAATTAATATGAGCCTCTCTTCTTGGCCTAATCCAGGTCACCAACATGGTGAGTTAGGCTCTCAAAATCAGAGCCCTATTATGAATAGACATTAACCATGTCCAACCACCAAAGTGGTTGGTTAAATAGGGCTGAGCCAGGCTAAGCCAATGAAATAATATGCCCAAATCGGACTGGGTCAAGAAGCCGGGCTGACCCATTTTAACTCACCCATAATTGACCATCAAAGCTCTTCGGAAAATTAGGAAAGTGTGAAACTTGAAAGAGTACGATAATTATGCGCATATCAGAATTCAGAACAGACAAGATAAACTTTCACATCTCATACACCACAGTAGGAGGCGATTTTACAAACCTGAGTATCAGGATCCTTCAACTTATCCGTTAACTCTGATACTGCTTCTTTGCAGAATCCACAGCTATCTTCTTGAACTTTTGAGGAAATAATTGCAATTTTCTCACAGAGATTGACCTTTTTGCAGAATTCTCCAGGCTGAAGTGACGCAAGCTCTAAGAAAAATTGAGGAGCATAATAGTCCACCAAAGTAGTGCACTGTTCAATACAGAAGAAACAAAGTGAGTATTTAGTGCGCTATAAGTTCACATTCGTTCATCCATTCACCCTTTAGGTTCTAAGGAATATGAGGCTCTGTAAAAAATTAGCTGCTATTCAGTGAATGATTTACAGTCCATCACGAAGAGGGTAATGGGGATTTCTTGTTGAACATTGAAGTTCATATCAGGAAATCTTAGTCAGCTATCAATACTAAGGCATCTAGAGAGAAAAACCCTTCACCAACCTGCTGTTCAAAAGAGTGCAGCTGGTGGCAAGCATTGTGAAGGTAATCCATAACCTCTTCCTGGGTTTGTTTTCACTTAGGTATTCAAGTGCCTTGGCACTATATTCCTCACAAAGTGTACATACATCTGGTCTTCTGGTTTGTTCTGCAATTTCAAAGATATGTAAAGAAGATGAGCTACTCATACATCACTTGTAATTAAAAATATAAATGAAACAAATGAAATGAGACACGTGTGTGTGTGTGTGTGTGTTCGATAAGCAAAAAATCAAAAGATTGGAAAATTGTTTTCAGTTAATTTCATTTGCCTCTGTGGTCTTATTAACTGGTGATCCTTCCAGATTATAATGGAAAAGAGTTGTGTTTTTATGAACAGACATATCACACGCTAAAACTACCTATAGTGCTTTTGCTTTCTCGTGTATATGAATTTTAGGAATCTGCCAATTGAAGAAATGGACAGGTGCAGAATAAGAGAGTTATTATGCATGTGTTTGGACATTAGGCATTTTCGGTCAATTGATGTGTTACGGCTTGAAGGGGTTAAACTGTAGTGCTTCAGTTATTTTAAAGTTCATGAGGAAAAAGAAAAGAAAGAAGGGTGTGGAAAATATCCTCAAGCGTTGTATAGGAAGGCAACTTATTGTACATTTAATATTTCAAATCAAGGTATTATTCGATGTCACCTATCTAGTTACTAACATATTATTCTATTTTCCAACTTTCCATCACCCAACAATTGAACAACAACATCATCCATGAATCTGTCAGAGCATTTCAAGCAGCAAGGTTTGATGAAATAATATTTATTAAGGATTAAAAGAACATAATCAACACTGGCCCTGGCGAGCCCCTGGACCCAACACACCCAAACTTTTTTGTACCAAAAAAAACGGAACATAATCACCAATTCAGGCGTGATGATATATACTACAAAAAAAATCATGTTATTATTAAGGAATCATAGAACATAGAACTTGACACTAACATGGAAATGACGAATTGACAAATTCTAAAAATTTTATATGCAGTTTAATGAGTCGAGCCATGCCTAATATGTGTGCTCAACGGGAATTAGTAAAAACACGACCACTCTTTTGAAGTGTTCATGTTTAATAACTAAAAGTTGAGATGGCTCATATGAGAAAACTTGCATAATATTAGTGATGACATACAACAATATTACACCATTGCCCCTTTTGATTTTCTCGGATATTGAACTGTCCTTTAAATTGCTGCAAAATTTCTAGGAACAGAAAACTTAGGGATATCGTTCCTAGGAAAGCAATCAGAAATGGGAATTTTTCACTCATGCAACATAGACCAATGCTAACAGATCAGGAAAACTAAAAAGCGAACAAAGAAGATAATATAGACAACTAACAGCTTTACTGTAAACATCAGAGTTTGCATGTTACCACTCAAAAGATCAGTATTAGCCAATTCTCTGGCATCAGATGCCAAGGCAGCACCCAAGATAACTAGAAACAAGAGCCCCATTCTCCTTTCCATGATGCCTGTAACAACCACTGAATACTAAGTCAACTTTCAATCAGAGAAAAATCTAACACTTAATAAAAATTCAAGGGCAATTGCAAGATAAAACATAAAAACAGAGGTAACAAGTTCCTGACATGTACATAGTGAACTTTGATGATATTCAAGGTGTAAAGGCTGACAGAAAACCACACCACAATATCATTCCAAACTCATGGTGTAAAGATCGAATCATCGACACAATCCTATTATAAAACAACCTATAGATTTCATGTCCAACCCTCAAGCGTGCATAACCCGACCCTAAGAACGTATGGTATTAGACTAATTGACCTATTCTATCTTCTCAGGTCATCATTATAGAACCTTGGCCAACTGTGAAATCGATATGCAGTTCAATAGAGTTGATGAAATCAGAGTTGATAAAATCAAATAAAGCATGCAGCAGTCCAGTGTCTTGTTCAGTCTTAGGTTGACCAAAATAAAAGCAGTTCAAATTTCCTATAGTCAATCATCGAAAAGATACAGATTTCAGAGTTTTACTACGAAGCAGCATAGAACTGTTGAGAGGTAGATCAACAGTATTTTCAATATAGGTATCGCAGTCCCAAGCACGACTGAACTATGACTTGTTAACATAATTAATCAATTAATTAATCGATCAATCCGACAGACAACAGTAATTAATTAATAACACATGAAGCCGATCAGCAGAAGGAATTGATGTCGGGTAAACAAGATGAGCACAAGCCAACCATAACCCTACAAGCATGAAGCTAGCCAAAAACAAAACTACACACCCATACGATCGAATTGAAATGAAAGTGCAAGGGGAAAATAAAAAAGGAGCATGGAAATTTATAAACTTGAGAATCAGACTTGTAAGCGAGAGATAAAGTTCCTATCTTTGGGCAGATTTTCCCGGGAAACAAACCGAATTTAAACTTAAAACACGAGAGAGAAAAAATTACTTCTAATAAAGATGATATATGGGACTGAAAGAGAAATATCCTGGATTCAAGGGAAGGGAAGGGAAGGTGGGGAAAGAAGCTATTCTCTCTTTGAATGTTTGTGCTTTGTATTGTCTTGAAGGAGATAGAGTCCACTACTCTGCGGGAAGACCCATAGTAGTAGTATTAGTACGTCAAGTCATATGGCCACGTGGCGCAATCATGAAGTCGCGCTGACTCTGATGAGAGTGGAAAATGTTTTTTAAAAAAATCTTGGTTCACTTTATCCAGAATATGCAGAAAGGATCATTCACGGGGAAGCTTCATCTGGTACGAAAGTGTCGAAAGATCAACAAGGCACGGCATCGATTCGAAAGGGATTGTTTAAAAAAAAAAATGTAATCAATAAAAATATCAAACAAATTTCCTGAGAATGCATAACACGATCTGAGAATGATTTCCCCACCTTTATCTTGAGTTTAAACTTTATATGCAAATTATTGGGCAAGAAAACTCTTATCTGCAAATTTGTTGGGTTTGAATTTAATACTAGTTTCATAGATACGAAACTGATTAGTGTTTTTTTAACAAAAGAAACAGATTAGTGTTAAAAACATCAAATATAGCTAAAACTGTTGTAAAATAGCATTATACAGAGGTAGTCAGTTAGCAAAACGGGAGTGTATTTCTTTTTTTACGCAATTATCCATTATTGGATATCATTAGCATAAATTAGGAAAAGTTAATACAAATTAGTAGTATAAATATATTTAAAAAAATTTTGTCCATCAATATATTAAACATAATCTAATCTTGCTAAACTAACATACGTATATTATTTAGTTAATGCAAAATAAGTCTTATTTTATTAAATATGGTAGAGTACCGGATTTTTTTACATGCACCAAATTTATACATTCACATAACATGAAAATTACTGTATTAAAAAAGACTAAAATACATAAAACTCTCTTAAATTTTGAGATAGTTGTATATAACTTTTTTTATTATTAAACTTTTAAAATTAACTTTCATAATCTACAATTTTGTTTTTCAAAACCCCCTATCATTAATTAATTCTGTTGTATAATTGATAAAGTTTGCCATGTCAAATTAAAAAAAGTCCCATAAAAGCTTTCATGGCATTTTATGTAAATAAATAATAAATGTATAAAAATTATATTATTTTTAAATATTTACTTTTATATTAGTTTTATTTTTTTTTTTCTGTTATCAATGGTGCGTAGTTTTTCTGTACTAAAAGATAAGTTTTTATTTATATGATTCTTTTCAATAACACCATTTAAATTTTTTAGCATAAAATGTTATTTTAATTGATAAAGCATAATAAAATTATAATTTTTTCCTTAAATTATGTTAACAGGAAATAATGAGAATAAAGTCACCCAACTAAAAAAAAATTAAAATATTATCATGTGTGTTAAAAGTAAAAATTATAATTTTGCCCCTCCTTAAATTGTGTTAAAAAATTAATAAAATATTTTTCATGTCGTGTGTCATTTGTATTTCATTAATCTAACATGAAAATTTTGTTAATAACATAACAAGGTTAATTAACGATAGGAGGCTTTAAAAAATAAAATTAAAAATTAAGAGAATTAATTTTAAATGTTAAAAAAAAGAAGGTTATATACAATTGCCTTAAAATTTAAGAGTGTTTTATACATTTTAACCTATAAAAAATACATATTCCTTTTTTATACAATTACGTATTATTCATGAGCCAAGCCGAGTAAGACCACGCTGGTTGCAAAGCTCTCTTAATAAGTAAAAAAAAAAAACAGATTTTAATAGTGAATGTTTGCATTATTATTTTTAAATAAAAATAAATTAATACATTCAAAAAAGAATTACATACTTACTATTCATAATTGAACTTGTCCTTTTTTAGAATTGACTTGTCTCCATTACCCTTCCTTTCCATTTTCTCTCCACTACCCTAAAATAAGATCTAAACCATCCAGCAAGTTAAATCTGGATTCTAGATTTGAAGTTTTTATTTTTTATTTGTTATTTTATATTTATTAAAATTAAAATTAAAATTTTTAATAAATCCATTTTATCATCAATCAAAACAATCCAGATTTAATTTAAAAGAAAAATTAAAAGTATAAAATATAAATATAAATAAAAAATTTAAATCCAAACCATTTAAATTTAATTTGCATCAAATTTGAACGGTCTATATTTTATTTTAGGGTAGTGAAAAGGAAGGGTAGTGGAGACAAGCCAAATCCTCCTCTTTCCCCATCTTCCTCCAACCAAAAAGGTGGACGTGCATAATCTAACTTAAATACTAAAGATGGATCATAATCCCCTTGCAAAAAAAAGATAGATCCTAATAATATCAATATATAATACTCCTTCTGTCTTAAATTATAAGACATTTTTGAAAGAGTTTTTCCATTTCAAAATGTAAAACACTTTGAGTATGTTAAGATTTTATTAAATGCACCAATATCAATATTACCAATTTTTTTTATAATTAATTTTCATCCCTTCTATTTTCAATGTATTAAATAATGAGTATTTTTTAAAGTTTATATTTTTATTTTAAATAATAAAATTGTTAAGTGTATTTAATAAGGTTTATTGATATGTGAGATTTTATTTGAAAGTATCTTATAATTTAAAACGGAGGGAGTACAAAATTTTTAGAAATTTGATATTTGCAAAATCTATAAATGAAAAGTGCGAAATAAAAAGAGACCATTTTTGAGAGTGGCAACATTAAAAGAGAATTATTAGGGGTGGAGATTGATACATGGTAACTGCATATGGGATTTATATATAATGTTTCAATTATTAAATGTCAAAAAAAAATATAACATATCAATTATTAACTTAAAAAGAATTGATATTAATATTCAAAATAAAAATATAACATTTAATTTATTTAATTTTAATTCAGAAGTTCTAAATTCAAAATAACTCAAGCACCTTTCACCAGCCAAAAATCTGCACTCCAATGGAAAAGTAAATTTAGAAAATCTTATTTTACAAAAGCAATCTTTTCTATTTGAACTGGAAAAACTAATGTTTGAAGAATAAAGCCTAATTTAGTAAATGTAATTGAACACACATTAAATGGAAACTGTGTTTAGAAAATTAGGTTTGAGCCTCCATGCTAATAATATGTATTGTGTAGCACACAGGATGATATAAATCTTCAATCTGGTAGGGGCACAAAGGAAAAAAAATGCACAATCTGTTTTGTGAAAACACTGAATGGTATTAAACAATGTGGACAGGTGTACGTTTCACCCACTAGTCCTTACCTAACTTTGCAGCGCTTACATTAAGAAGAATGGAAATTGTTGAAAATTACTGTTTAGCCAGGACCAAGAGTGAATTTTGAGGGTTTTTTTTTTTTTTTAGTGCAATCCAATATACTATATTATTGACAAATCAAAATTTAAGCATTTAATACAGTGCGTTTCGGTATCTTCACCTATACCACCAACTAATCACATGGTAGCGAAGGATCAACCATCAATACACAAATCAAAGTTATCAATTTAAGTATTAGTTTTTCCATTTAACAGTTTGTATTAATAAAATCACATGTTACTATAAAAAAAGCCCTTCATAATTTTTTCTTTTAAAGTATCTAAACGTGCGTTAGCGTCAAAACATTGTCATCAAGTTTTCACTCTACCTTGTTCTTCAGCGTAGAGGAACCAAATCCTCCTGATCTCAGAAAACGATGAAATCAGATCATAGTAGATCAACAATTCAATAGAATCATCCAACAAATCAGCACAAGAAAGGGGGTAACAACATGCTTACACACAAACAAGGTCCAACAGAATAGGTGAAAGAGATTCAACAGAATAGGTGATTCAAGTGAAGTAATCAGAATACGTGAAAGAGATGTGTACTGGACACAACAGAAAGAAGCCATTAGTCTCACTCTTGTCACTTGTCAGTTCTAGATGAAGCTGAATCATAAATATCGACATGATCCAACAGCCCCATCACCTTAAATTCATAGACGGTTTCTTCTTCTTTTTCTTCTGTTGTTTCGCCAAAAGAAGAGAGAATCTGGCGAATCCAAATTTCTTCCTCTTAGCAGAAGACTGCTTCTGGACACTTTCCTCCTTGTCAACTTTGCCACCATTACTAAACTCTGGATCATCATTTTGTTTCCCAAGCATTTGACCAAGAGACACCTTTCGTTTCACTGAACTTCTTCCTTCAACCATGCCAGCGGCTTCATACTCCCCAGGCATAAGCAGCTTCCTGCTCAGAATTTGCCCTATTGATAGGGATGGCTTTAGAACTGGTTTGATTTCATCATTCACAAGATTCAATCCATTCACATCAAGTAACCAAGAATCTCTCCGGTGAGACGGGTAAGCATTTTTGAACTTGATAGAATTCTGTATTGAGGATCGCCTTTTGTTACTGTCTGCTCTCCACTTCCTTAATGCCTCTTCAACAGCCAGCTTCCCTCTATTTGCAGCCTCCACCCTTTCCAGAGCTTCTTCCAGAGCTATCTTGCTGGTCTTAACTTCCTCTGCAGCTTCCTCTACCCTTTTAAGGATATCCATTTTTGACACATTTGCTTCGTCAACTTGAAGCATCGCGTCCACCACTCTCTTCTTTGATTTTTCCTCAGCTTCTTGAGCTTTCCTTGTGAGATTATTATACTCTTCAAATGACAGAGTTACTCCATCCTGCTTTTGCATGGAATCTCCATCTGACATCTCATAATTTGATAAAGTACTAATTTCAGCTAGGGCCATTGCTTCTGCAGCTCGAGCAGCTTCTTTCATCTTTCTGGCCGCAACAAGCCTAATTTCAGCTGTCCTTATCATTGTTTTCGTCTGTTCAATCTCAGATATTG